TTAAAATCATCACAGCAGGAGGTGTTATATTTTCAAAATTAAAAAAAAAAAAGAAGAAAGAAAAAAGGGTTTAATAAAGATTAAAAAAATATGCATAAATAGTAAAAATAAATCTCTTAATCTTTGTCGATGGAAACAAGATGGACGAATAGAGGTAGCCTCGACGGTAATCCAAAGCTGCATAAAAAAAGAAGAGAGTGAATACTAGAAGCCAAGAATTAGGGAAAAAAAAACTTTGAAGCCAACCTTTCGGTGGACTTCTACTGTGCTTCTACCCATGCACCCGAGGGCTCAATTTATAGGCAAGGATTTGGGATTCAAACCAGAAGAATAATCCAAATCTCAATTCAAATAAGATTCCTATTCAAATTTGAAATTGAAATCGGGTGGGTTTTTAACTCAAATCAACTCCCAAGTACGATTCTTCATTCTTCATTCAAATTCTAAATTTGATTGGATATCAAATTTAAATCCTTTTCAAATTCATCTCAAATTTGAATTTGAATTATTTCCGACTTTTAAATTACGTTGGATAAATTCAATATTTTAAAATATAATCAAAAATTCAAATTTGAACCATAATCCAACATTCAATTTAAAGTTGAATAAAATCCAAATTTTCAAATTCATCTGAAATTTGAATTTGAATTATATTCCACCTTTTAAATTACGTTGCATAAATTCCATATTTTCAAATTTGATCCAAAATTCAAATTTGAACCATAAATCCAGCGTTTAATTTAAAGTTGGATAAAATTAAAAAATTTTGAATTCATCTCCAATTTAAATTTGAATAATATACTTTTAAATTACGTAGGATAAATTCCATTTTTCAAATTTGATCCAAAATTCAAATTTGAGCCATAAATCCAGCGTTTGATAAATTCAAAAATTTTGAATTCATCCCAAATTTGAATTCGAATTATGTTCCGACTTTTAAATTGGGTTGGATAAATTCCATATTTTCAAATTTGATCCAAAATTCAAATTTGAACCATAATCCAGCTTAATTTTTGGGAAAATTCAAAAAATAAAATCTCGAATTCATCCCAAATTTGAATTTGAATTATATTCCGATTTTTTGAATTAAGTTGGAAAAATTTCATGTTTTCGAATTTGAGCCAAAATTCAAATTTTGAACTCAAGTCCAACATTCAATTTAAAGTTTGATAAATTTCAAATTTTCAAATTCATCTCAAATTTGAATTTGAATCATATTTTGACTTTTTAATTAAATTCAAAGTTAAAAAAAAAAAAAAAACTTCTGAAGGTAATTTAAATTTTAATGGATAAATTTCAGATGTCTCATTTTAAATTGTGCAAATTTATTATCAATTGGACCTACTAGGATATCTTGGTGCACGATTAAAAATTTTTCTTCAAAATTATGACTTAAATTCATCTTTTTGATTCCACAATATTTTCGAAATTCAGCAACAATTATGTTTGACATAAATTTCGAAAAGAGGATTTTGGGTCAATCATAAACGACTATGTAATTATCTATTTTATTTAGGGATTAATTATATATTAACCCTAAATTAAAATTAAAGATAAATTTTGACATTTAAAATATGTAATTGGGTCATATGACAATTGAGCTTAGAATTAATTTGGTTCACAAACTTGGCCCAAAACCCAAATTACCATGAGACCAAGTGGATTAATATTTAAATTTAATAAATTTAAATCCACTTAAAGAGTTGGGCTGGGTCCAAAATTACCCAAGCCCAAAAGTCCACTAAGCCCGTAGAAACCTCTATAAATAGAGGGGGTTTCCTTCATTTTCTGGGTTCAGAATTTCGTAATTGAGATAATTCACACAAAATTATAGACGCTTTGAAGACCTGAAGATTTAAAGACCAATTTGAATACCTTGAAGACTTGAAGACTTTCGAAGAACATAGAACTTCGATCTAAATTCAAGAACAAGCATCTGAATCTTCACATCAAGTTTGAGAGAAAGAATTAGAGGATAAAGATTAAAGATTGAATCCACTATACAACACATAAAACAAAAATCAAAGTCCAACTCCACAAATTATAATTTCTTCGGAAATCTCGTGTGAACAATGCCCTCTCCCATTCTCGCCCTGAAAATTTTTAGTCCCCGTTTCTACCTTGTTCTTCGGTCTAGAAATCGAGATCGAAATAAAGAATCCTTATTTGGGGACAGGGATATTTGCGGAAAAAATTACCAATTTTTATTATTCATTTTAATTATTTTTATAATTTAATAAATAAAAAAGTCTAATAAATATAATATTAATAATTTTTAGAACTATTATTTACTTGTATAAATAATTAGTTTTGAATACTATTTAATATTTTATTCACGATTTAGTAAATATGTCAATAAAATATATATTAAATGGAATTCGGATGGGGTCGGGACATGCATTTTATATTTTTGGAACGGGGACCTGATTCTACGAGAAGTTTGTCATCGCTAATGTAGAGACATGAAAATACAAGTTTAGAGAGATGGAAATAAACTTTTGAAATAGAAATTTTAGAGAAAAACACAACTACAAAGAGAAATCAAAGTTATAGTGAAAGAAAATTGAAGGAGAAAATAAAATGTAATTTTCAGTTGAAAAATAGATTAGGAAGGGAGAAAAGTAATAAAAGATGAATTTTTTTCGAAAGAAAGTTCTGAAAAATATTAATTTTTTAGAGAGAAATAAGAGTGATCTGTTAGAACAAAAAGAAAGAATAAAAATACGTAGAGATGAAAATTTTGGAGAGAGAATGAGAAATAATAATAAATATTAAAATATTAAAATTTTAGAGAAAGAAAAATAATTTTTTAGAGAGAGATTTATGAAGAAAAAAATTTAGACTCAGAAAGAAATTTATTAGAGATAAATATGCCAAAAAGTAAAAAAAGAAAGTTAAGTATTGAAAGAAAAGATGAGATTTTGAAAAACAGAAATTCGTTTTTAAAAACTATCTATATTTTTTTAATTTACATAGAATTTCAAAATCATATTTAAAAAAAATAGAAAAATGAATTAGTATCAAACAGTCCTATTTTTTAAAAACAAAAATTCAAAACTAAAAATAGAAAACAAGGTGATTATCAAACCGTCTTTTGATGTTTCTTTTTAATAGGGTACGATTTTCTTACCGGGCTTTATTTCTCATCAATTTAATAATATGTATCTTACCCATCCAACTATGTATTAAATTAAAACAATTTTTAATATTCAATTCAATGGTATATTGAACCACATCAAATGCACCGGGACCCCATTGGGACCCAAGGTTAAAACTCTCTCAAAAACCTATTATTTACACCACTCTTTAAGTTTTAGATGAAAAATTAATTTTGTCGAATAACTACCAATAAAATTAATCCCACATTAAAAAAATTAAAGACTTAACAAAATTTATACTATAAGTTGGTTGTTTCTCTCCATCAATTTTGAGATATAATCCATATATGAATAATAGATTCGTTACACAACATGTGGCAGAGACAAACAAAGAGAAAGCTTCTTGGCACCAAGGAGAGAGCCTTCTTTTATGGCACTTTTCTTGTAATGGATCAAAATTAGGGTATTAATATTTACATCGTATATTGATATTTTTCGTTAACATTTTTCATACATCTAATGATTCAACATTAACATCGGGTTTAATCAAAATTTTTATTATGCCATAAAAATATTGATGAAATACAGACAAAAATGATAATACTAACAAAAATCCATCTAAAAAAAAGTGTGAAGTATTTATTTATTATGTTATATATATTGATTTACGAATTTCTTGATTTTTGTAATTTTTTCATAAACACCCATGATATTTTTCATTATGATATCTTTTTTTTTTTCTATATATATATATAACAAATATGAGAACATTGAGTTATTATAGAGATATATGTGTATTTTTTTTCCAAGGGTGAAAAAAATAAAAAGAATCATGGAGAAGAAAGCAACTCCATGTAAGGGAAAAATAAAAAAAAATAAAAAAAAAAAGAGGAAAGAGAATCATGATTGAGAGATTCTACATTTGGTTCCAAAACGTGACATTCTCACATCTGAAAAATAATAGCATAAATTATAGCACTTAGAATTAAAATTTAAAAGAAAAAGAAAACAAATAATTACCCAAAAACCAAGAACACAAATTTAGTATTTGACTGATTTTATTAGTAAAAAGGAAAAGAATTCAAGAATGCCTGTTCTTCTTACCATGGTTGTTGAGGTGATGCAAGAATTTAAGGCCTTTGAATGCCTTAGAAATCTTTGTCAAACCGCTCCTCTTTCCAATCCCAAGCCTCATTTTCCCTGTGGAGAATTTCAAAGCTTGTAAGCAACAAATCTTCCCAATCTCTTCTTCTTCGGCTTCCTCACCCTCCTCCGCTTCCTTCTCGTTCACGAGACTTCTTAGATCCTTCTTCTTCGAGTTGTCGTCGCCTCGTTTACTATCGTCGACTAATTCTCCCATCTTTGATTCCTTGGCCTCGTACATTTCCCAAAGCAAATCCATCTCGTCATCTTTATTATTATTATCATAGTGGTCTTCAAAGAATTTGAAGCTGAGTTGCGCGCTCCTCCTCCTCCACTCATCTCTCTGCTTAATTTGCTTTTTTCGCGAAGAACAAGAAGAAGAAGAGTGTGATCTGTCTCCTTCCTTGTTCGGAATCACTTCTGTAATATCTTTAGCTTTTGTTTCGACTTCTCGAACGGGTTCTTCAAAGACGAGGTTGAGCCAATAATGATGGAGATCATCTTGGCGAGGAAGAGGGAAGGAGGGAATGAGGAGGAAGCTGAGGGAGGTGGTGGTGAGAAGGGGAGAGAGGAAAAAGAGGAGTTTTAGAAGGTAAGGGGAGAAGAAGAGCAAGTAGAAGAAGTAGAGAGGGTGGGAAAAAATCAAGGAAAAGAAATTGAAGAATATGAATGAGAGACACAATTCTTCAGTCATTTTATTCTTTTCCATTTTCTTTGGAATAAATCTTTGGAGAACAAAGATAATAAAGAATGAATAATATATGAGACGAGAGACAGGAGATCCAAAATTCTAGTGTAATGTAATTTCTGTTGGATGTGCGACAAAAGTTCTATCAATAATGATCTTTTGATAGGAGATGATGGTTGGGCGCACATTAATTAGAGAATGAGAAGATCTTGGATATATAAGTTAGGGACAACATTTTGATGATGTCTTTTGAGTAACGCCAAAAGTAAAATGACGAGAGCTTATATGGAAAATTAACAATATCATATCAATAGAAATATTGACATACACAGCTCCCACTCTACCTTTGAATCCATTTCGTTCGGACATTGATCGGTCTGGTCCTGGTTGGAGGGTGGTCCCTTGTCGACGGTTTAGAAGTGAAAGAAAAAAGACAGAGAGGAGGGGGTGTGAGATCCAACTAACATTTGGAAAGAAGAAGAAAAATAAAAGCTACTTTTTAAACTGTCTCTTTGTCCATAATCCACATGTTGAGAGACTTGATCATTGCAGCTTTTTCAATTTTTTTTTTCTTGTGTTTTTTCTTTGGATTCTTTTTTTTTTTCTAGTCTTTGAATTAAGATAAATAATTTACGTTTGATTCGTGATTAATAGGTGTCTATTATATATATAACAACTGAAAATTATATATTTTATTTTGATAAACTTTTTTTGTATAAAAGTTGTTTTCTAGAGATCAAATATAAGATATTTTTCAAAATTATAAAATAACAAAGTTAAAAATATAATAAACCTTTATTTTTTTTAAACAATATTTTAAGGAGTTTAATTTAGGGTATTTCTTTTATAGAGTTTTTAAACGCTAGTTTTAGGTTGAAACTCCTAATTAGATGGTAAGGCTCAGTTTTTTTTTTCATGAGGGAGAAAAAGAGAGGAGAAAAAATAATGATTCGTGTTACTTTCTCAAAATACAGTAATTTTTCCTTGCTTTTTTTTATTCATTATTAGTTTAACATTTTTGGGGAAAGTTTTGGATATTTAATTATAATTGGGGGGTTTTTTTTTTTAAATAATGAATTAGAAGGGGTTTCGAAATATTTTACCTTAATTCCAAAAAGTTTTGACATTTTGATTCAGTTTTAGTCCATATAGCTAGGTGTCGACTCTATTGGTCATAATTTCCCTCCACAGCTTTCTTTATTACGACTATTTGTTTCCGACTAGTTTAGCAATGATGGTTCGGATTACTCTTCTTCCTTTTTTTTTAATAATATTAATTTTCAAACTTATTTAAATAAATTTCTTTTTTTCTTAACTATGCTTGCCTTGATAAATAAATAAATTTTATATTTGAAACTTATTCCCAAAATATTATTTTTTAAATGGACTGTCGCTATGTCGCCTCTTTAATGGATAATCTATATGCCGTAACAACAAAAATTAAACTAGATTTAAGTTTAAAAATATCTAACTACTTTTTAAAAAATTCTAAAAAAATATTAAAATTTAAAATTTGATCTAAATCTAACTTTAACAAAATTTTATGAAAAGTAAATATAGTTTTAAATTTAGTTCATCTAGTTAGATTTAAATTAAAATTATTTCAAATTGCGACCTAGTTCTTGACTTCTGAAACATTTGTTCATTTTTGCTAGTGCCATGACTTCTACAACTCAGTTAAGTGTCGAGTCATCAATCTCCGACTTGTCAATAACTCACCTATAGAACACATTTTCAACCCACCTCACCTATATCTCCTTCGTCCGCTGTCTCGAGCTACAGAGCAGCAACATCTCTAGCACAATTTCAGCAGAGATTTATCTTATTTTTCGCTTATGGTTCCTGAAGTATCGTACCATTTCATCTCAACTTGGTAGCTTGTCATAGTAAGCATAGCGAAACCAGATTTTTCAAGTTGAGTAAATCCATCTTAAGACGTACTTATGGCTCTAAATTCATTAGAGATGTGCTTATGGAAGAACGGAGAGAGAAACTGATTGAAACAGTTTATTCTCTCTTTATGGTAATCTCAATATTCAAGTAAAATTAGTAATTTCATTTTATTCTCAATATAAACTAAATCGTCATGTTTAATTAGTTAAACACACATGGATAAATTAAATTAAAAAATATAATTTTCATCTAATTTTTTAAAAGTTAGATTTAGTTTAAATTTTAAAATTTTTAATTAATTAAATCGATTTTTTTACAAAAAAAAAAAATTGGTTTGTTTAAAGATTTTGTTAATATATATATATAGTTTTAAATTTTAAACGGGTTGTTAGGTATTTTTTAGCAAGATTTTGTTTAATGGCGTGGCCTATTTCTCTTTTTCTTTTTTTTTTTAATAAAAAAAGTGTGTAACCTTATGTCGATATTTGCCACATATATAGGCCGTCTCTTAAAAGAGACCACCTATACACAAGGTGCCATGTATCGTCTCTGAAATAGTGATGACTCATTTACAAATGCATTATTTATTATTATTAATTTTTTTTTTGAAGAAATTACAAATGTGAAATATTTTAGAAAATAAGTTTGGAAATCAGTAATATTTTAAAAAAAATGAAAAATGACATGATTGCTCCCGTTAAGTGTGGCTTATCGAGTACATGAAGATTATATGTTGCTACTGATTTTTAAGGGGGTTTCAGAATGATTTTTTTTGTAAAACAGTAAATTTTAGATTGTTTAAAATATTGAAAATTGGATATTTATTTAATAAAAACAAAAAATATTTAAATTTCACGTTTTCACATTTTCATTTTTAAGTACAACATCTGGGGTGGGGATCCAACTCACAGCTTTATTTGCAATTATTTTGAAGGTTTTAAATGTTGTTTTATTGAAAAATATTTCGTAAATCTAGTCCGGGTATCGATGCTTGTATTTTAAATGTTGTTATTATTGGATTTTAAAGTGTTTTAACTAGATCTAATTAATTCGATAATAGCCATCCGAATATGTAATTTTTGTTTTGCGAATGTTTTGATTATTTGGTATAGTAGCCTCATAAACTGTAGTTGATGTAATGTTGGGGCTTATGTTAGGAATGTGGGTTTGACATTCCTTTGGAATGAAAACTTGTTCACACATCTAGGCCCACACTAACATAATTGTATTAATTATTTTGGTTGATTATATAATTGACAAGTCTGGTTTGTTATCGACTTATATAGCTACCTAAATAATACATATTTAATATTGAAATTTCTAATGAAATGAAAATATTGTTTTGGATAATTGAAAGGTCTGAGTTACTAAAAGTTTAAATTGATTAAAGCGATTTCTTATTTTTTTTTATGGTTTTGAAGAGAGGATGATTTTTAATAATCCGTAGAAATTGATTATTGAATATTTTTGTCTCTCAATGAAATAATTTCAGTAACTATTATGATAGTGATTGAGGATCACCGTTCTAATAATATAATGGTGGCCCTTGATCTTCTCTTTATGTTTTCTTAATCATGTTTATATGAACTCCTTGATGTTTATATGAGGTAAACGATAACCAACATAAGGTAAGGTAAATGGATAAAAGTTCAACGTATAGAGAAATTAGGATTTTTGTCCCTTTTCATAATTCAATTTGGACTTTTGATTCCGTTTCTAAAATCTCTTATTCATGATCCTCATTTTCTAATTTTTTACCTATATTTTCAATTTTTTTGTTTTTGTAAAATTACCAAAATATCCTCATTATTAAAAAAAAAAAAACAAATTTCTTCCCAATCTTTATTCCCTCCGCTCCTCTCTCCACAAATTTCTTTAATTTTAATCTAACATGGAAAAAATCTCAACTTTTTAATAACCTAAAAAATTTGACTTTTAAACTTGAAAATCAATTATGAATCTAATATAGAAAAAATCTATTTTTAAAAAAATTGAAATGACATAATGGAATATTAAATAGTTAATCATTTAATATGGAAATTTACCAACAAAATCAAAATTCCAAAAATCTCGGAATAAGGTTGGGCTCTCACCCCTAACTTGGGCCCAACAAATGGGGTAAGCATGGGACTAACTATAGGAATGACCAAATTTAATAACACAGTTTAAAAAATGACAAACATATGAGATATTGTAATAATGGCTAAATAATTTTTTTTAAATACTGATAAAATGTTTAGATAAATATACCCTTATAACCAATTATGTATATATGCATAATTGTAGGGATCTAAGATTTTTATGAATTGAAAAAACAATCAACCTTAATTTTAGGGAATCAAACCGTATCTAATAAAATGTAAATGAAATTAAAATATTTATTTTAGATCTAATTTAAAATTACTAATTATTATTTTAAATCTAATTTTAAATTACTTATTAGAATGTGAAAGTAGATTTTAAAAGAAATTGATAAAAGTGTGCTGCCGTAGATTTTAAAATTTACCCATGTCTAATATAAGATTTAAAAATAAGAGAGTAAATATAAAATTGATAAAA